CTTCCAAGCATGATGTCCTTCTCCAAGAACGAGTGTCTCCGGGCCATGTGCCTAAAGTAAGTGAGAAAGAGCTTCAAAATCCTAGCCTCCAAGGAGAAACTTGGTTTCACCCTCTCTAAGACAGACCTATTTGTTTTTATGTACAGTAGAGATTTGTGTTGCTTAAAAAAATGTCAACAAAGCGACACTCTATGACTTCCAAACAAGACCATGAAGGTCTTCTAACTTTTGCTCTTGACCTCTTTGACCTGTGATTTCCTCATATAATGAGGAAGCTTGAGGTATGAAGAAAGGTCACCTAGAGTCACAGTGAGGCCCCTGGGCCAACAGCAACCCCCAGTCAACTAACCAGCTGACAGCAAGTGTCTACGTAAACCCAACCATCACTGCATGGAAGTGGGAGTCTGCCCAACAGCCAACCCACAGAATCATGAGTAGAAAAAGGTGAAAAGCCACATGTAGGGGGTAGTTTATTAGACAGTGATGGGTATCTGGCATGCTGCCTGCAACTGTGCTAGGTCAAGAAGAAACCCTTAAGCTCTTTTTCTGAAGCTGTTAATAGCTGGCAAGGCAGACAGGTTATGTGGCAATTTCAAAGCAAATTCAGCAGTATTACAATAGAGAGGGCCCAAGAGTCCATGGGAACACAGAGAAGAGGCATTTTCTCAGAGGTGGAGAGGTGACAGAGCTTCCAAAAAGGAGATAATATATAAGGGGAGATAAGAAGATGAATTTTCTAGGAAAAGAGGGGGAAGGAATATTCCAGAGAGGCAAAGATCAGAGGGAGTGAGATGGGCCCCCTAAAAGACTGGAAGCATTTACAATAATTACAGTATGAGTGGGAAGGGTAGTTAAGGCCTTAGTACTAGTCTATGGCATTTGGACTTTAAACTGAGGAGGATGAGAGTCAAAGAAGGAAATGGTGTCTAATTTTGTACTCCTTTGATAGAAAACATCAAAGAAACCCTCTGATTCACACACACACAGGGCAAGAGTTTGTATGAAACAGAGAGAAGGTTTTCTTGTACTTAGGATGATTGTATGTCAGAGTCTAAGAAAATGAACATTATCCAGACCAACATCAACCAGGTTGCCATTAAACAGATGCCAATTCAGGGAGATCCCAGGCATGTTAGAGTAGAACTGTGCTCTCTGCACTGTTTACAGTGGCTGAGGTTTGGGGAGTAGGTATCAGATCTTTCTTCCAAGATGCCTCTGGGTGGATCTGAACTCCCTCCCTTTGGTTAGCAGCCACACGTTAGCTAGGACTACCCAGGTATTCCTTCCTAGATAGGACCCTAATCGAAATCAAATCATTGCAATTGAGTTGATTCTGATGCCCGATTCCTTGCCACCAGGTTTCTGAAGCTGTAAACGGTTACTACGGGAGCTGAGTATCTCACTTTCCAAGGTCCAAACTTCCTGCAAAATCCAGAACAGCACTAGCCTTGTGTATAGCAAATACACTTTATTTAATCACGTGCGCTTTGGCCAAAGGGGGCTGAGGCTCAAGTGGGCTTGAGTGGGGGGTAGTCGCAGCAGTTTCAAGGGCCTAGAACCATTTCCAGCCCCTGTTTTAACAGTCAACTCTCTCCTGGTATGGGTCGATCACACAACCATGTTTAGGGCTAAACATTGATCAGATGATTTACTATTTCCTGGAACACAGAGGTGTAGTTGGCTAGCCTCAGAAGGTGAGCAAAATGGAACACCATGGGTTTCAACCTTACATTCTCTTGCACAGTATAGCTAAGTACAGCTAGTGGATCTGAACTGTCTCTTTTTGGTTAACAGTGCAACATGCAACCCTTTGTACCACCAGGGGTCCTTTAATAGACATTAAATGTTATGTGAGTGAGAAATGACTCACAGGGGATGCTCCGGAGGGTTTTCTCAAAGGCAGTAAATCACACAGCAGACTGCCCATTTTTCTCTTGAGAAGCAGCTGGTTCAAATCCCAAGGTGGATTTGAACATTGGGCTTTGGGTTAGGGGAACAAATCCTTACCCACTAGGCCCTCAGAGCTCCCTTAATAGACTTTTGTGGTTGTGCGCCGTTGAGTCCGAACCAACTCCTGGCTGACCATCCAGCGGGTTTCAGAGGCAGTACAGCATACAGACGATCTGCTCATCCTCCTATGAGGCAGCTGGTGGATTTGAACCTTATGCCTTGGGATTGCAGCAAGCTCCTTACCACTGGCCACCAATATGTATCAATAATAGATATTGTTGCTGAGCCCGAATTGAATCCTAGTTGACCCACTGGTGGGTTTTCAGAGGCAGGAAATTGCATGGGAGAAGACTGTCCATCCTTCACCCTTGGAGCAGCTGGTGAATTTGAACCACCTGCCTTTGGGATTGCACCTTACCTTCTTGCCACTAGGCCACCAGAGCTCCCTCTAATAGACATTGCTGTTATAGTCATATGCCATCAAGTTGCCTATGACTTATAGTGACCTTATGTACAAAAGCTCTGACCCCTGCCCTGTCCTGAGCCAGTCTCACCAACTCCAACACAGCTATCTCCATGACCCACATTACTGAGTCAATCCATCTCATCCAGGGTCTTCCTCTCCTGTTCTGTCCCTCCACCCTCCCAAGCATAATGTCCCTCTCCAAGGACTGGTACCTCCTTGCACTATGCCCAAAATATGTCAGATGAAGCTTCAGAATCCTTGCCTCCAAGGAGCAGCCTGGGTTTACACTCTCCAAGGAACCTGTTTGCTCTCCTGACAGTCCATGTATATTCAGTACTCTTCTCCGGCACCACAGCTCAAAGGCATCAATTCTCCTTCTGTCATCCCTAGTCATTGTCCAGCTCTCTGATGCTTAGCAAGCAACTGTGAAGCCTGGATCAGGCACACCTTAGTTCCTGGACTGACATCATTACTCTTTAACCCTGCGGAGAAGTCCCTGATTGTAGATTTCCTAGTGCAATTCCTCTTCTTATTTCCTGACTGTTGGTACCAAGTGTGTTGATTGTGGACCCAAAGAAGCTGAAATTGTTAACAACCTCAATCTCTTCTCCGTCTATCATGGCTCTACTAACTGGCCCAGTGGTGAGAACCTTTGTCTTCTTAATGTTGAGCTTCAAGTTCAACAACTAATAGACATTAAGATGTCTTTTTTTAAAAAAGTAGCAACCACAGGTATGATGCCACTTCCCGAAAGGAACTCCTCCTTCCTTTGTAAATGAATGAATACCTGGGGGCAGAAAGCAGTTAAGACTCATCAGTTAAAGATGTTCTAGAAAGTATTATTAAAGCAGAGTGGGAAGGTCTCCAACTTACTAGCCGCACACACATGTGCTTTGGGCACATGACTAACATCTTTATGAGTCAGAGATAATGACAGCACTGACCTCACAGGCTTCCTAATTAGTGGTGGTGGCTCTGGGTCCGGGAGGGAACACAAAAGGTTTTAGCTTTAAATGGGCCTGTGCTGGAATTAGTTTTTACATCTAAAAAAAAAAAAAAGAAGAAGATGATAATACCAACCTTATAGGGTTGTGATGAGAATCAAAGGAAAGAATTGGCTGTTAAAAGCCATTGCAGAGGGCCCAGCACCAAGCTGAAATGCACGCATTCATTGAGATGATAACATTTCTCCAACATAGGTGAAGAGTATTAATGGTGGACATTCATCAGCCATTACTTCACAGTCCTACCCTCTGACTAAGGCAACACACCTCACAGCGTGTGTGTAAAAGGTATCACATCTTCAGAGTGGTGTGCCCGTCCCACGAATTGCTCTAATGCACTATGAAAACCAACCACAAAGAAACACGTGAGGTCCAATATTGATTTTATTTGTAAATGTGTGATAAGAAAGTAACCTGGTTGCTCAGAATTCATTATATGAAATGAAAAAGAACCCAGCATTCTGACCCCCTAATTTGGCACTTTGAGGAATTTCTTCTATTCACCAAGCCCCAAAACTCACTCTTTCCCAGACAGAGAGAGGGAAAAAAAAACCCAAAAACCAAAAAAACCCACTCCAAAAGCACATAACATGCACACACATATATATACACACAAATGAGCTAAAAAGTCACACCACAATCTGGTGATTTTGGTGAAAAAGAATCTTCCCCAAATAAGCAGCATGTCATGTTGTTAGAACATGTTACACGAGAAAGCTCGCAGAAATTTAGGCCAAGAAGGCAATCGTAGCTTCAAGATTTATCCTACAAGTGCCAAGATCTAGAACAACTTCACTTAAAAAAAAAGAGAGAGAGGGGTATCTTCAAGTGAAACTGAGCTAGAAGGCTTGATATTTTGAGCTGTAATGTACACAAACTTCTCTATTTTGACATTCAACACATTCAGGAGTAATTCTACAAAGCTGCTGTGGCTGGTTCATAAAACAAATGGCTCAGAAAGAGATAACTGGGAGCGTCCTCCGCCCCCCAACCACTTCCCAATGATGGCAGAAGAATTTTTTGTTTAGCTTGGTTTTTTTAAAGGTAAGTCATATTTGGAAATACATGTCAAGATAAAAGTTGCTATCAAAGGCAAGATTTTTTTAAAAAAAAAATCTTTTTTTTCCTGATGGTTTTTAAGCTCTTAAGCTTTTTTCAAAATGCTAATTAGTAGCTAGGTGTCCTCTAAACACTTTCTATTTGTAAAAACTACCTGATCAACTCCCAAGAAAAGGATTTTAACATAACAAAACAAAGTTGTTTTCAACCAGCGCCTGCAAATTAATTAAGATGAAAACCAATGAATGAGAACTACAAATAGAAACCTAGTAAGGCAATTCTACTATGTTCCCCAGACATATTCTTCATTGACGTAATATTGTTTAAGACATGATACCCGGTTCCTCCACAAATCAAGAAGATGAATTATGTAGAAGATGAATTAAGATGTGTGTGCATGGAGACGAGATTCGTATGTCCGTAGCCATCCACTGCATGGACGTCTTGTTATGGCACTGCTTTGGGGGGTTCTGGCCTTGTTCCCCACAGGACACGGAAGGGCTGGGAGTCGATCGGTTGGCTCAGCATTCCAGTTCCTCCATGACTTCCATGACAATTGTCCGGGGTCCCGTCAGAATCAGATTGCTCACCGTCCTGTAGTCTACGTGTAGCACGTTGAGCCCATTTACAGAGACGACAAACTGACAGACCTGAAGCAAAGACAGAGAGAAAGTGCATCTGTTCGAGTTCCTGGGTTGTTTACACCACAGACATTCCTTTAATAAAGATACTAAATAGCTCCAAAGGGTAACTTCATTCTTGAAATAAACAGACCTTGGATCATTCACAAGATACTTTGCTTTTCTCCCTGGGAGGTGACTGAACAGAATATAATGGAAACACCATTTGTTGTAGTGATATTCTGAGCTACACCTGTTCCTACCTCAGCGCCTTGCTACCTTACCTTCAGTATTTACTCTGCTGACCTTTATTTCCTTCAACTCTAAAACAGAGATACAATAATCATATGCCTGCCATAACAGATTGTTTTAAGAATCAAATGAGGTCAAATCACATGTAGTCTACTACAGTGCTCTCAACTCTTGTCATATCAAGTCATTCTCTTAGTCACCAGATTTATGGCTGTTATTATTCATCTAGACTCAATATGTAGGAAGATCTTACAGCAGCATAAAGTTCTATGCTCCCAGGATGCTTTTCACTCCTGCCTGCTGGTCCTGCATGGTTGGTAATAGTGCTTTCTTTCACTTTACAAAGTGTTCTGTAAGATGGTAAATCTACAATGTCTTATACTTGTGCATGTGACCCAACACAGGCCAACTTTTCCAACAAGTGTTGGTTAACATCGTGGAAGGATAATTACAAGTCAATACATCGCTTCGACACTCAATAATGAACAGCCACTCGAGATACACCATGGTGGGCCTGATAACAACCCGCTGCTACTGTCCCAAGTGGAAGGCTTTCTTTTGATGCTGGGGTTTGTATCAGAGGCTGAGTACTTTTTCTTTTTTTTTCATTTTAGTGAAAGTTTACAGAGACTTTGGATTTCCATTCATTCATTGTTGCACACTTTTCTTCCCTGCCCACTCTCCCCCCTCACCAGTTCACTTTTCTCTTTAATAGGTAAAAAACAAACAAACCAAGATTCTTTCATTGTTATACAACCTCCCCTACCCAACCAGTCCACTCCACTATGCAGCTTTCATTCTGGACTCTTGTCACGACAGTAATACCTAAACATATACTCCTGCTAAACAGTTCTCTCCCTCATCTGTTTCAATGCAGTATGTATTATTTATCCCCTTAAGTTTTCCCCTTACCCTGATGTCAGTCCTGCTTTACAACAGTGGCACTATGCAGTACTTGTCCTTTTGTGACATTTCATTTTGTGATATTTCACTCAGCATAATGTCCTCTAGAGTCACCCATTTTGTATACTATTGCATGAGTTCCTTGTTTTTCAATGAGGCATAGTATTCCATTGTGTGAATATACCACAGCTTCTCTAGCCATTGATTTGTTGATGAACACTTGGGTTGTTCCCAAATGCTGAGTACTTCCCCCGACCCCTTACAAACTTTGAGTAAATTTTGCTGCTACAAAAACATAGGCTCTATATCTCTGCATATCTGAACAGGTATTGGACATGAGTGATTTATGCCATTCAAATGGAAAAATGAGGACAAACATATCTCCACCTATCAGTGACAGTTATATCTAACTGGTAAAACATAACCAAACAGTATACAAGGTGCACACAGTAGGTGTTTGTAGGCAGAATGAAGACTATTCCACCACCTCCTACACCCTTCCCCCACAAAGATGCTGATGTTCTCATTCCAGAGTCTGTATATACATTAGTTTACATGGTAGAGGAGAATTAAAGTTTGAATTTGAACTAAAGAAATTAGCTTGGATTATCTAGTTGTGCACAAAATAATCACAAGTTTCTGTAAGAAGGAGAGAAGAAAGTAAAAAATAAAAACAAGCAAATGGAAAAAAAAACCCCAAACCAGAAGTAGTAGATGTGACCATGGACACAAGAACCAGAAGCCATACCTGGAAAGGATCAGATGGTAAAGGTTGCAGGCAGCCTCTCACAGCTAAAAAAAGAGACCAGATCCTCCCCTGAAGTTTCTAGAAGCAATGCAGCCTTGCTGACAGACGGCCTGTAAATGTCTGATCTCCAGAGCGGTAAGATAATAAACTTTAATTGTTTTAAGCACCGAGTTAATGGAATTTTTTTCCTAGCAATCATAAGACGCTAATACAGTTTTCAACAAAGGTGCCACTATTAATCTGTACCCACTAAAAACAAAGAAGGATGAAGAAATGCAAAGATGTGTGAAAACAGTTAGTCTGGAGCACTAAGGGACCATGGGAAGGAAGCTCAACTTCCATGAATCTTCCTGAGACCAGAACGGTCGGCTAGCAATGCTGACCTTTCTGAAAGGAATGATGAGAGAGTGCATCTGGACACAGTGGGAGAACAAATGTGGGCCAAAACTCAGAATCATAAAAACCTGGGTTCAACCTGAGGAAATGAGTCACTAGTCATGAGACCCCAGGATCTTAGTCTTGGGGGACATTAAGGTCATAACAAAACCACCAGGACAATGCTTGATACATTGGTGAGTAGTCTTAAAGGTCTTAAAGGTTTGGGGGTGGCCCTCTAAGTTACAGCCATTGGTCTCTTCACCTCTAGAACATAAAAAAGAGTGAAGAAAGTCAAGGCTGCTTGAAAACAATTAGTTGCACCTACCAATGGCCTTGGTTATCATCAACTTCCAAGACCCCAAAATAACAAGATGGGGCGCAGGTACTAGTGCTGACTACTGTGAAAGGGGTCACAATAGAAAGTTACAACAGGAAATAAGTGAGGGGGGAAGAAAGGAAGATGGGAGCGAGGTGAAGAAAGGAGAAAAGGCCACAGGACGGTGGAGACTCATCCACTAACAACGTCTCCCAAAAGTGATGTGCTCACTGCCCCCAAACCAAACCAATCACTCTTGGAGAAACTGTAATCAGGCTATTCCACGGAGGTCAGGCTGGAGAACCTCCCCCCCTCCACATAATTTGGGCATGTTTTGGTGGGCACACGTCCTCTGGAAAAGACATCATTCTTGGAAAACTCGCAGCTCAGTGAAAGGGAATCATGAGATGAAGTGAGTAATGAGCTCTAGCAGACTGGAGATTGGGAGGATGGCGTGACTGGGGCAAGATTGTGATCTGTGGCTCATAGTGTTGTAAATTGTAGTCGACTCCAGGGCACCTGACAAGTAACAGTAACATTGTCAATCTTTTTAAAGTATAATGCTTTACTCATGATACATAAGTGTATAGAAGGGATAATGTAGACATCTGTTCTCAATTAGTCATCAGTGAATTTACCTACTGTTTGAATACTCAAATAATAGAGAAATTACTGGAGAAACAGTCATTTACTGCCATCAGTTTCTAAGTAGGTAATATTAGTATTCAAACAGGGTGTTAAAAGTCTAAAAAAATCTATATTATTCACATACACTCCAATTAGAATGCATTAAAAGGCAGGTCTATTTTTGTGGAATGGACATAAGGTTTGGAGTGTAACGATAAAATTCAACTTCCATGCCCTTTTGCTAGATGACGTTAAGCGAGTCATTTCTGGTCTCCACATCTCAACAACATCCTCTCTAAAACATAGCGAGTTAGGAGAAAATGCTCATCTTCAAAGGATCAAATTAAATAGTGTATATAAAACCTCTTTACAACTATTAAGCATCATATAAATTTTTTAGTCTATTAATGTCTTTCCCTATAAAAATATCGACTTCCTCTTGAGGGCACCTTTTAGCCAAATAACAGATTGGTTCATAAAATATAGTGAGTAGTACACACTTGAAAAAAAAAAATCTATATGAGACCAAATGGCCAACTGTTACAGCAAATATGAAAGGATAGGAAAACAGGGAAGCCAGTAAATGGTAGCACAGTATCTAGAAGAGAATGAACTAGTATGCTAACAGTATAGCACCCTAAGACTGGGAAGATACAGAGAAGTATGCAAGACACTGTCAACTACAGACAGAGGTTACAAGAAGAATCAATAATAATGAATGGAAATTGCAAGGAGGAAGCTGGGAAAAACACAATTACCTTGTAGGTATCACAATTTATTGTTGAGAAACAAAATGTCTATGAAAAACTAATTTGCTTTGTAAATTTTCATGCAAATCACCGTGAAAAATGTAGCCAGTATCACTAAAGAAAATTATGTAGCAATTGTTAACTAGGAATCTAATTTGCTATATAAACTTTCATCAAAACCACAATGTTGTCACTGAGTCTGAATCGGCCCATAGCTGACCCTCCAGTGACTTTTTAGAGACAGTACACCACATGGGAAGAGACTGCCCATCTTTCTCCCATGTAGCAGCTGGTGGGTTAGAACCACATACCTTTGTGTTAGCAGCACAATTTTTTACCACTAAGACACAAGAGCTTAGAATTAATAAAACAACAAACATCTCCACCTCCTACACCACTGTCACTTGCAAAAACAAATGGAAAGTGGCAGACAGATTACTTTACTCAGCAAACAGTCACTGTTGTCATAAAGCTCAGTACTTTCCACCCTCCCAACCTACATTCTGACGGTGTTCTCTCTGAACAGAACATACAATCATTGTTTCCTCTTCCCCAAGCCAACAAATCTGCCTGGTTGGTTCTGGGCACATTCTGTACAAAATCAGCAATTCTCATCCATGGTTAAGGTCAAAGTCATAATCGAGGTCACACTAGCCGGGCTTAAGCAGTCCTGAAGTAAGCCATGAGCAATTTGCAAGGCAACTTAGCATCGAATAATGTAGACAACGGTCTGTGGGGTTTGGCTTTTTTAATTTTTTTTTCCTAACACAGCAGACTCCTCACCCAAAGTATGAGAGGAATTTCCTCCACCAAACCTGGGCTCTTTTTTATCTCCAGAGGGATGGGTAGTCAAGTCTTCTGCGTGGCCAAATAAGAAAGCAGAAAGCCAGGGTCAAGGTCACTGAATCAATTCCAAGTCACAGTTGCCCTCTGGTTTCTGAGGCTGTACACCTTAATGGAGGAGGCCACCCATCTTCGTCCCCTTGGTAAAGGACAGTAGATAAGGCTGGGGGATTTGAATCATGGACTTTCTGGTTAGCAGCCCCAGTGTGTAACA